ATTAATATTTTTAGGCTTCTGAGCTGAGCAAATTACTGCCATTTGTTTCCCCATGAAATGGTTATGAAATTAACAAAAATAAATTATATTATTTTTCTCATAAATAAAATTACTCCTTTTGTGGTATCAAATAATGACAGTATCTCACAAAAAAATTCCACACTGTTGTTTTACACAATAGGCAATTCCAAACTGAATCGTTGGCTCACAAACAATTACAAATTGTTGTATTACACTCAGGATATGCCCACTTTAGGGCTAATTACCCTCAGCTTAAGAACCACTGTTGTTGCAATAGATTGGCTGTTTTAACCTTTTGTTGTGAATATGTATTTGAGAAATATACCTGTCATGGTTCCGAAAGTAGAAGCTCTTCAAAGAACTTTGAGGCATTGTTTTCCTTAAAGAATCTTTTTAATTACTACATAGCTTCGGCATGTACATAGTGAAGCCAAAATCTGAATTCTCCTCCCCCCAATCACCCGTAACAAAGCATAACTCACTCCTTCATTTAACAGTCATCAATCAAGTTCTCCAATTAGTTTGAAGTGTGAACTTTCCCTCCCATATCTCCTCTGGTTACAACTAACCTTGAAAAATACTGTACTGAAATATTGTTATGGCTAACTATTCCCCAAGTACATCCTTTCCCCTCTCCTTTCCAACACTATCTAACTTTAGAGTAATACACAGGTTAAATAGGGAATGTCTGCTTCTTCATATATTGTCAAGCAAGAACATCCGATGTTAGCAACCTTGACAATACCACAATAAAAATAGTTACAGTTGCATTTATAATATCTATAAAATCTTTGCTTTTGTTAATGTTACATAATCACCAATTAAAACTGACATAAAATATTATTGCTTTTTAAAAATTTTTATTGAGAACTTTTACTTGAATGAAAGAAAAGTAAGAAATATATAAAAAGAAAAAAGAAAAACCGTAGGAAACAATACATGGAAAACAAAGAAAAACAGATAAAGAAGTATCTTCTTCATAGCAGTTACAATCAAAATTATTATCCCTACTTCCTCTTAAACATCTCCATAATTTCTTTGTCCCCTTATTCATCACTTTTTGATTGTCTAATCTAAAATTCATTATTTTAGCTCTTTCTATTTGCAGCAAAAAGTTCATTAAAAGTCCAGTATTGTGCAAAAATACTTGTTATTTTATCTTCTATTGTGAATATATCAATATATCACCATTTTATGGAACAATAATCTTAATAGCTGACAAAATAATGATTAATACAAACTAAAATAAAAAAATAAAAATAGTTACAAAAAAGAAAGAAAAGGTAGAGAAAAAGTAAAGAAGGAAAACAATTAGTAAAGAAAAAGAAAATGAAGAAACGACTTAAGAAATTTTAGAATCTTATGACTTCCTCATAAAATACAACAAATGCATGAGGAAAACCCTTTGGGGATGAAATCCACTTAAGGTTGGCATTAGGTCCATATGAAATAAGTTAGTCAGAGCAATGTGACAGAAGGTTTTGGAGATTCTTTTTATGGTTATTGGGGCTCTTAGTTTTCCCTGTTTCCATATATTATTCTTCTGGCAGAATGCATGGAAACCCACCTAGGGTTAAGTTAGGTCCCCATTTACTCAGTGAGTAAATCCAACATGACAGAGAGGTTCAGATAAGCAGTTCATGGTTAGTTGGCCTCTTACATTTCTGTTCTATCTTATATTATGTTTTTTGGGCAGGGGATATATATGGAAATCTGTTATAGAAATCTAGCTAATTAGGGTTAGCTCCTCATGAAATCTAGAAAAAGCAAGATGGGAGAAATATTTGGGGTTGGGAGAGAAACTATATCTGGTGAAGGAAGGGGAATTGACTCCTACACTTTCCATAAGTATGGATACCTGATTTTTGTGAGCAGGCAAGAGAAACCATCACTTTTACATCCACTTTCAATCAGTTGTGGGTCGCCAGTTCCATCATACAATGAGTTTTAAATGCAGTCTTTGAAGGACTCATGGTTTGAGTCCTTTCAATCACTTTATAATTTTATTTATTAGTTTTTTATGATCAAAAAACCTTTAAAATCACAAGTCTATAGTTGCTGGGATTCTTTTCAATTTGTTTAAAAAGAAGCAAAATTATGCCCTTTCAACATCATAAGAGCTTTATTTTTTGCTATTTCTAGCTCTATACAGCAAAGATGTGATTTCTGGTTTGTTTATGGAACACTTTATAAATGCTAAGGATTTATGAAATTGACCTAAAGAATGTATAAGTAGAAAGAGCCTCATGTGGGAAAAATCTGTCTTATTTACATATGGATTGCAAACAAGACTTTGAATGTCAATTACTAGAGCACAGAGTGGCTGTTTTAAAGGAAATGTTTAATTTATGAGTTGCTGAAGTACTCAAGCTTTTTAACTCTTTACTGAAACCAACAATTATTACTGAAGATGAGCAAATTCCTCTGGATATAATTGTAATTGATTTTAAGGCTTATTTAAAAATTACAAATGAAAGATGTGGAAATATTGAATGTACAGTTAGATGATAATTTAAAAACTGTAAAGGATATATAAATAATGTATCAAAAACAGCAATGTGGACTACCCACTAAAATTGAAATATAAGAGATTTTCTGGAGCTACTTCAGGGAAATTACAAGTGAACCTCAATAAAAGGTAAGAATGTTGAGAGAAGAGGTAAAGATGATCGAAGGAAAGAGGAATTAGCATTTCGTTTATTGGGAGGAAGAAGCAAAAAAATAAACTGGTCTATCTGATCATGGTTTAAAGAAAGAGTTCCTGTTTCTGGGGTGCTTTGTGATTATCTGGATTGAATAGTTTTTCTTTTGCAAAAGTTAAAATTGTAATGGATTTTTTATTATATTATTTTTGACATTTAAATAAGGGCTTATTATTTTGGTAATGTTAAACGGTTTTTCTTTTTCTGCAATGTTTATGTGAGATTTTTTTGCACATAAAAGAGGGTCCTGGATTAAATGGATTATCTGGACCCTTTCAGTTAAGATTCAGGCCTGGATATGGATGAAAATGGTATTGGTTGCACTTTTCAGTTATTTCTGGCAAATGCTATTTGGATGGAAATTCACCTAGGATTAGGCTCCTTTGAATTTAGTGAGAAAAATGAACATCACAGTTATATGGGGAGACACATTTTATTGATTATGGGGCTGTTACATATGCAGCTAGTTACATTTTAGTATCTTGGCAAAATGCATGGGAAATCCCTTTTGGCTATAAAAACAATTCATAGAAATTAATGTTTAACATGTTTATATTTAAGCTTCCATGAAATCATTGAGGAAAACCAAACTTATTCATTATGAGGGCCCCTTTATGTTTCTTTTATTTCTGTTGTGCCTAGTTTTTATAGCTTGGTAAATAGATTAGGAGATCCTATTTGGCTGGAGATTCATGTAAGGTTAGGATTAGGCTTCAATGAAATTGAGAGAAAGCAACATCACTAATATGGAGAAGCCATGTATATATAGTGGGTGACCAACATTTCNTGTAGTTGGTTGTTATATCTCATCTAACACTGAATCATATATTCAATGCTTCTGTGATTAAGAGAAAGCCATCGGGATCACTGAGCAGAAATTCCAGTTGGTCAGATTCTTGTCCTTACTTTACAGTACATGATTGTGCCTTCAGAGATGCCTTTGTCTCTAGAACGTAAAACAGCGGGAGTAACAAACACCAAAATAAAGCTCACCCCCCCACCCCCACCCATCACTCATGTGCAGCGCTTCTGATTAGCTCAGTGTTTCTCAACCTTGACAATTTTAAGGCATGTGGACTTCAACTCCCAGAATTCCACAGCCAGCAATGCTGGCTGTGGAATTCTGGGAGTTGAAGTCCACATGCCTTAAAATTGTCAAGGTTGAGGAACACTGCTTGATTAGCTTGTTATTGAACAGCCGCATCTTTCCCTTTGCAGGACAAGGATTCCCTTCTATTGGAGGCTCCGCGTTCATGGGCAGAGTTTCAGTTTGAAGCCTTAGTCGCCAATCAGAATACGGATTCCGGTTGCGGGGCAACAGCTCTCCAGCCGCTGTGTGCAAAAGAAGCTTGCGTCTCCTTGGAAACACGAACTCTCGGCGCACGAAGCTGGCTCGCTTAGAGGCCGCCATGAGCTCCCGCGGAGGCGAGCAGGGAACCGGCGGATCCATGGACGTCGACGGAGTGCGCATTACGCCGCCCGAGCTACGCTTCGTGGATGCGATGCCAGGCAGTTGTTACAGAGCGCTGCTTAGCGTCCAAAACCTGCAGACACGCAGCTGTTCGCTTCATTTACAACCTCCGGAACGGACTCAGGTGGGACGGGAACAAGGCAGTCTCAACCAAGGGAGTGGAGCGAAGAAGTTAGAAATCTTAGTCAGAACCTGACTGAGGCTTGGGATTCCCCCTGCTGCTTTACCGTGAACTTAGCTATTTCTGTAAGCTCCGGACAAACTCTCTTTTTAGCCGGTATCATATTGGACGGAGTTAGTTTTGTTTCGGCAGCATCAAACCTAATGAGTCTTAATGAGAAACCCCTTTAGCAACAAATCTTTAATTTGGTGTCCATCTTTGGGGAGGGAAGTATACTTAAAGGGGGGGGAAAAGGATACTGAGTGGGTTACTGGAATTAATAATAATAATAACAACAATAACAACAACAATATAATAATAAAGTTGGAAGGGACCTTGGAGGTCATCTAGTCCAACCCCTTGCTCAGGCAGGAAACCCTATACCATTTCAGACAAATGGCTGTCCAGTCTTTTCTTAAAAACTTCCAGTGTTGGAGCATTCACCGCTTCTGGAGGCAGGTTGTTCCACTGGTTAATTGTTCTAACTGTCAGGAAGTTTCTCCTTAGTTCTAGGTTGCTTCTCTCCTTGATTAGTTTCCACCCGTTGCTTCTTGTCCTGCCTTCAGGCACTTTGGAGAATAGCTTGACTCCCTCTTCTTTGTGGCAACCCCTGAGATATTGGAAGACTGCTATCATGTCCCCCCTCGTCCTTCTCTTCATTAAACTAGACATACCCAATTCCAGCAGCCTTTCCTTATACAGTATGCTTCAGCCTCCAGTCCCCTAATCATCTTTGTTGCTCTTCTCTGTACTCTTTCTAGAGTCTCAACATCTTTTTTACATCCTGGTGACCAAAACTGGATGCAGTATTCCAAGTGTGGCCTTACCAAGGCATTATAAAGTGGTATTAATACTTCACGTGATCTTGATTCTATCCCTCTGTTAATGCAGCCCAGCACTGTGTTGGCCTTTTTGGCAGCTGCAGCACACTGCTGGCTCATATTTAAGTGATTGTCCACTAGGACTCCGAGGTCCCTCTCACAGTTACTATTATTGAGCAAGGTACCCCCTATACTATACCTGTACATTTGGTTTTTCTTGCCTAAATGTAGAACCTTACTTTTTTCACCATTGAATTTCATTTTGTTGGTTAGCGCCCAGTGTTCAAGTCTGTCCAGATCCTCCTGTATCCTAAGCCTGTCTTCTGGAGTGTTGGCTATTCCTGCCAGCTTGGTGTTGTCTGCAAATTTGATGATTTCCCCATCTATCCTCTCGTCCAAATTGTTGATGAAGATATTGAAGAGCACTGGACCCAGAACAGAGCTTTGTGGCACCCCACTACACACTTCCCTCCATGTAGATGCGGTTCCATTGAGGACCACACACTGAGTACAGCCGGTCAGCCAGCTACGGATCCATCTGGTGGTGATGCTGTCTAACCCACATTTTTCTATCTTATCAAGTAGTAGATTGTGATCTACTTTATCAAATGCCTTACTGAAGTCCAAGTAAATTATATCCACAGCATTCCTCTGATCCACTAATTTTGTCACTTGGTCAAAGAATGCAATAAGATTTGTCTGGCATGATCTGTTTTTGACAAACCCATGTTGACTTTTAGTAATTCACTAATTCTTTTTGAAGAGCCATGATTATTATTTCTTGCACTAAGATTAGTATATGAAGGGGGAATAGTTTTCGTTCCTTCAGTTATTTATAGGTTAGAAACATACTTGTCTACAATCTCGAACAAAGGTAGTTCAATGGTAAGATGAAATAAGAATTCAGTCAATAAAAAGTTAAAATTCAAAGGTAGGAAATACATAACTTTGCATCAGCACAATATTGTCTAGTAATGCAGGTTTATTATACAATTTTTGAATCTGGTGCTAGATCTATTACTATGCCATCACCAGTCTATTACAGGCATAAAACTCAGTGGCTGGAAAAGATACAAGATACTCAAAATATCTGCAGGGTGTAAGTTTGGGAAAGAATCTTACAAGATATTACAGGGTAAATAGTTCAAAGAGAATAGGAGGCATGAATGAGATTACAGTCCCTTTAAAAAAGCAGGTGACCTTCCTAATTGGTACTTCCTCTTTCATTTTTTTGTATGTTTCCTATGTTTATGATAGTTTCACACTCCTTACCACAGTACTTTCTCTTGCAGTATTGTTTCCTATATCTACAGCACAATTTCTATATCTGTCCATCCATCTGTCCATCCATCCTGTTTTGCTTTAGTTGTTGCCAGAATACATCATGTAACTAAAAGAAAAATGTTTCCTTTAAAAAATCTTTATTTGCACTATAATTTGCTGAGTGATAGTTGTATGGTGGTGAAGAACCTCATGTTCAGATAACATTTGTAAAATTGAATGGTTTATTAATTTTGCAGTTCAAACTAATTGTGGAAAATCCAAAGAAACCTGTTGCTTCTGGCCTTTACATAACAGCCACTGTGGAATATCATCCGGACAGTGAGGAAGACCTTCATGATAGGCTCCTCCTTCATGTAGAAAAAAAAGTAATTGAAATTCCTCTGATTGGGTATGGCATTTCAACATAAAACTCTACTGTTGGTTAAATATTTGGCTAGCATTTGCACACTAAACCCCAACAAATGGGCAAAACTTTAGCTTAGTTTATTGTGATGATTAGTTTGTTTTAAAACAGGAAGTTCTCAAACTTTGTGGCTCTGCAAAGCTCTAAAATAATGTTTTGTGACCTCCAGCTAAACCTAATTATTTAATTAGAGTAGCATTGGATGAGAAAAAAATACACCGCATTTAATAATTAAAATTTTAATCTATATATTTCAGGGGGTCTCAATCTTTGTTGTACTGAAGCAGTCCATTGGTCTTGCACTAATGTGGAACAAAGCCTGTTCTGACTGTTCCTCCATTTTGTCTGTGCAAGGCCGATCAGGTGGAAAAAACCCATTAACCTTACTTATAAGTGCTTGTGACTGCTAACATGCAGTTTCAGGTTCTTAATTTAATGTGCTTTGTTTAATCTGCTTTGTTATGTGTGAAATATGGCAGTGTCTCTTACACCAAGTATTGTGAGTTTATGTAATACTGAATTAATTTACAGTGGTACTTTTGGTTCTCATTGTTAATCAGAAGGCACAATGAGTACCAAATACAAGTACCAAACAAATTTTTCCCATAAGGAATAATGTAGTGAGTCACAAGGCAGCCGACATCAACAAGTTCTAGTTTGTACATTGAGCACCAAACAAACTATAAATATTGGTGTAAAATTTTCGCATCAAAATGCATTGAGTACCAAATTTGATGTGTTTCAAAGCAGTTGAGTACTGAGGTACCACTGTAATAGTACCAAAACTATGGTAATATTTCAGGTATTAATTGTGTACTAAATTATTATCTTGAATAGAAATAGGCAATAAGTATTAAATATTTTGACATACAAAAATTTCAAGCTAAATAAAATATAGTTGCAAATTAATATGATTTCATTGTGCTTACAATACTTAAAAACATAGCAACATAAATACTAAGTTAAGAAATGTAGTTAATGTATCTGTTGAAAAAATCCAAAAATACTTTATTTCCCTTGAAATGTATTTAAAAATTAAATCAATAAAATGATATAAAACCAATAAAATAGACTTTTTTTGCAGATTACGTCCATGTTGTTTCTTAGAAATTGAACCTGAGATAAATTTTGGAACAGTGATTGCGAACAGTAAAATAATACATGCAGTAACTAAAATTACAAACTATGGATCATCCCCAGGTAAATATTTTTTATAGAGTTTAGTGTATTTAGCTAGCTGTACACTTATACAAATCATAATGTAATTTATTTTTGGTTCAGCATGAAATATGAACCCATCGAAGCAAAAACAAATGATAATATGACGTAGCTCAATGGCTGGACATAGCTTTGGTTATTTCATGCGACATAGTAAACCATATTGTACTTTGATTTAGGATATTAACTAGATTTGAACCGTGGCATACATTATGTAAAGACTGAGTGCTTAGTCAAAATATGAAACTGGTTTATTTTATGATAGTGTATCTCAACCATCAATATATTATCAAAACTTGAATCTGCTGTTTATCCCTGGCAAATGCTTTTATGAATGATTGCACAGTGAAATCCCTGTAGCAACAATGTTCTAGTGCATGAGCCACTTTTTATACTTTTTATACTTTTTTTTATACTTTTCCCCATCACACAGTCCATAGCCATAAATAGGTGCCCCAGTTGAAGAAAAATGAAGAATTGAAAAATGACAGATTAGTCACTTAACCCAGGTTAATGTTGTATGACCCTATGAATGGTGTCAATATATATAAAGAGAATATGATTAAAAATTAATTTCTATATAATCTCTCTCTATATATTAATTACATTGGTGATTTTCCTTTGATCCTTATTGAAAGAAGTTTCATGTAAGTTTAAGAAATTAAAGAAAAAACCTCTTATTTGGAAATAAGCAGCAAAAAGGAGATTAGAAGCTTGATTATGAAAAGTTTTGAAATGGACTAAGGGCCAGATTGACTGGAAATAAAATTATGAAATAATTTTAAGAATATTTCCTGTGGTTTGTTCAGAATGTTATCAAAATATAGGAAGAATCTGAATTTAAGTGTAAGAAATCTTTTCACTGGGAAAATGTGGAGTAGAGAAAAACATGATAAAAGGAGACTTTGGCGGCAGGTTATTAAAAGCAACCATGACTCAAGATTTTAATTAAAGAAGATGTCACATTTATATAGAATGGAGAAAAGTATTTTAACTCTGGGAGAATTCAAGGATTTTTGGCAACAAGGTACTCAGAACTTCCTTTTCAGGTTGTATAATAATGGGCTCAAAAGAGGAGATAGAAGATGATACAACTGAGAATCGGGCTGTTTTGGATATGGATTTAAAACTGACAGACTACAAGAATGATGTCAAAGATATACTGAATTTATAAATAAAAGTGGCTGATATTTTAATAGCTTACACAAATAATCAGAAAAATGACTTAGAAGTGTGGATGTCAAGAAAGTTGTCCAAATAAGTCTTTTATTTTGGAATTACAAAAGAGATAGGTTATACTTCTGAAGAAGTTCCTGAGAAAAGATGAAGCAAGAATGAAAAGATATCGACTTCAGACAGATGATTTTAAAGGAATAAACATCAAGATTTCAAAAGTAAAAAAAAAGATTTATAAAATTGGATTATTCAACCAAAATTAAAATGTGTATTTTTTTCCAGCAGCTTTTTCTTTTTAAAATAAGGACTGAATGATGAGACTTTAAATATTTGTTTATAGATCAGATATGAAAAGAAAAGATTTTTTGTTGTAGTTTTAGAGAAGAAAAGTGTTATATTTGCAAAGGAGTTTCTGAGGAGAGATGAAGAGAAAATGATAAGAAATTTCTGGGATATTATTTGAAAGGATTAAATTTCAATATGTTGTTTCTGGTAGCTCTTGATCTTTTCTGATTCCTTGAATGGTCAGGGTTTAAATATTTGCTTATTGATACAAAATATGGAACAATATTTTTTGTATTTTTAGAGAAAATTAGGTAAATCACATCAAAGTAATATGAAATTTATTTATTTCTTAGATAGATACATAGATAGGATGAAAGGTTAGGTTAAAATATTGGAGAAGTCATTGTTCTAACATTGCTAATTTACTGAAACTGTACTTGTGTTGATGAAGGGAGAAGTAATTTTTTAATATTTTCCACTCTCTTTTACATATTTCTTCCAGCCTTACCACATTCTTTTTTCTCTTTGCACTTTTTGCTTTTTTTGTTTTTTGTATTTTTCTTAATTTGCATTAGTTTTTTATCTTTGTATTTTTAAATTTCAATAAAAATCATTGAAAATGATTTTTACTTATGCATGAATTATAAGTAGCTAATGCTAGATGGCTTACAGGTAAAAATAATAAAAATAGTAAAAACATGTTCAAATGCATCATAGAACCTGATATTTTTTGTTAAAATGACAAAAATGACGTTTTTGTTTGTACATTCAACTCACAATGGATGTACAAAAGGGCTGGCACTTGTGATGGTTTGACATTGGTCTTTTGTCCTCTTATGAATGAAAAATAAAGATATATTACATCATGCAAATGATACCAAATGATAAACTCCCATAAGCAGTAATTTCCAGTTAACTAGCATCCTCTGCCTTGAAAGCTTATTGGAAAAGCAGTCTTCACTGCTGTCCAAAGTGTAAGCAGGGAATAGAGTATTCCAGAGTAAGGACAATATCATTGTTTTGGCATTTCCTCTCCTGTAATATCTTGGAAGGGGGATTTGCAAGCTGCCATTACAAATATGGTGGAAGGAATGGACAGGCTTAAATGTTTAGTTTTCATATAAAGCTAAAGCATAGCAATAGTACTTAGACTTATATACCACTCCATAGTGCTTTATAGCACTCTCTGAGCGATTTACATTGTCAGCATATTCCCCCCAACAATCTGGATACTCATTTTACTGCCCTTGAAAGGATGGAAGGCTGAATCAACCTTGAATTTGTCTGGATTGAACTCCTGGCTGTGGGCAGAGTTAGCATGCAGTACTACATTCTAACCACTGTGCCACTACGACGCAGTATATAATGATTAATGTATAATGGTTAAATTTTTAATTATTTCATTTATATGGCTGCATCTACGATAAGAGGAGTCTGCAGTTCTGCTTGAGTTGTGTGATTGCTTGGGATTAACATTTATTGTTAGCTTTATCTCAGAGGAATGTATAAGTATACATTAACAGTATCTGAAGAAAGACTGTACTTTTTATAAACTTAGAATGATGTCTTACAATATGACTGAGGAGAAATAGCTGAGGAAGATAGACAACCTTGATGAGATCTCTTGATGATGATGCATCTTATTATTCTGTTATTGTGATCCTTTTATCATTGGAGGCAAAAAGATTAGCATTTAATTTTATGTGTATTCACTAGATGGTTTTGTTTTTAATTTATTTAATTTTTATATTTTAAGGTACATTTGACATAAAATACAGAGGAAGTGTTCCTATTATTATTGCACCAATCAATGGCGTGATAGAACCAAAAACAGTGAAATTGATTAAAGTGGAGATATGTACCGATGTACCAAAAATAATTAATCAACTAGCCACGTAAGTGCAGTATATTTAAATTGCAGTGTTGTCTCTTTTGATTTACTTCTTGAATTAAACTTTATGATACATAATAAATAAATGGAAGCATATGCCTTATACTGTAGTGTTCTTTGCCCTTTCACTGCATAGATATGTTTAATTACTTGTGTCATTGAAGTAAGTAAAAGTATTGCCAATTCAAGTGCAGTCTATGTAATAAGAACAATTTGAGTGAAGGATAGGACCTTTTTGTTGCATACTACTCAATTTCCTATCTAAAGAATGGATGGCTGTGCTTCAATAAATTATATGACAGCTCAGTACATTGGGTATTACAGTTTAATTAAATCAGACTGTTTAATTTTATTTAGGTAGAATGCAACGGTAAACTCCAATTCTAAGTAAAATCTAATTTGAAGCCTCATTTAAAAATCCTTCTTATATTGAAATTTGGTGTTTCCTTTATTATTCCAAATTGGGGATAATGAAGAATTAATTCAGTTATAACTCTTCTAATATTATGTAATATTAAGAGCACTTACTATTCTGATAAGAAGCATTGAATGTTACAAATAGGCAACTGTTATAAGTTTAAGTTATAAATGTGTGTGTGTGTGAAATATGCTAATAAAATCTTAAATTCCAAATGATTAATATGGCATTATTAATCTTAAGCTGTGATTGTCCTGAAGCTCACAATTCCTTTTTATCTGTTGTTATCCAAAGTGTGGAGTTGCAGGGAGGACCCACTGCTGAGATAAAAATCAAAGCCAATATTGTGGAACAAGTTCTTGAGGTTTTAGGTGTGCCTCACTCAAATACTATCCAGTGTGTTAATTTTGGATGTGTCTACTTTGGAACTTCCAAGATGGAAGAAATTATTCTTCACAATAAAAGTCCAGAGCCTGTGGATTGGGTGGCAGTCTTGATGGATAATGCTCTTGGTGGAGAGATGGTAAGTAAACTCTTGATTTTAGGCCTGCTTTTAAACACCTATCTTTTTTTCAGCAGAATTCCCTTTCTTCTCTGTCATACTTAGAAGCTATCAAAGGACAAACAAAGTTTGTTACTCTTTTACATTTTGGCTATTATTTGTATATAAATGAGAGTTCCTATTATTCTTGCCCTTGATAATGTGAAAAGGTAAGAGTATAAGTATAGGCCAGATTTGGGCTTGTTGTATTTTTAAACACAGTTCATATAAGCGTTCAAAAGCCATTTCAAAAGGCAGATTTAGATTTCATTCCAGTAATGTCCACAAATTTACTTCTGATATCTCCCACAAATAAGTGAATGGTATGAACATGGACAATATGTTAAAGTGGAACTAAAACCTACCCATTGCTTTGATATTATATGACTTTATTATTTACTCTTAAGGTTTCATGAGAAAGCTGTAGGGATCTTATACGCCAGATGAATGTTGTAATAGTTTTGGTATTTCTGAAGTGCATGCCTTTCATATCAATGGACATTTGTTGATGAATAATAATTGTAGACATTTATTACTTTTAAAATAATATACTAGCCATGTTTTAAAGGAAAGCTTAGTGGGGTCTAGACTTGGTGACAAGTTTTGTTCACATTTTTATAACTGTTACCTTTTCAGCAAGTTTATTGATCTTATATATGAAACATCCATGTAAATACATGGAGTAATTAATTTTTAGCATATTCATTTTATGTTTTCTTAAAGGGCACAGATATTCAGCAGAGTTCAAATGCTGCTTTGAAAGATTATCCTGAAAATCAAGAAACAGATGTTTCAACTTTGATTACTTGCATTCCTAATGAAGGAACACTGCAACCTTATCAGAAGACTGTGGTTTTTCTTTCTTTTAGTCCAAAGTAAGTGATTTTGTAAACTGAAGTAATGAGCACAATGAAAATGATAAAAGCTGTAGTGTGTGTATATATGTACGTAGGTCTGTATACATGTATACATACACACAAAACCCACGTATGTATATTCCTAATTTCATTTAACAGAATTTATTTTCTTCACTGTAGCAATAATCTGTATCTATTGTATTGTAATTAGCCTATTTTGATGTCACCCCCCACAATGTAGAACATACCAAAATATAAATTCCATAGACTTTTAAAACTATTCTTTTTTAAGATGAGCTGTAGTAATATAATTTTCCAAATCCGATTATGCTTTCCCTCTCTTATATCCATGTGAATTGGGGCGCCGGTGACTGGCTATGAAACATTTACACATACCTTCTTGTTTTGGGCTTAAGCAATGTTCTCCTCCTCATTGCTTTGGTAAGAGATCTGTTCTTTGTCAAGGTCATCTTCCTTATTCTCTATATTAGGTGAAATGCTTTAATGAATTCCGTTTTCAAGAGGCAGTGAAAAATATGTATGGCTCTTCTTTTTATTCTTTCAGATAGGGGAAATAAGGTCTCTATCACTTGTTTTCATTTCTTGCTGAGGTGAGAGTTTTTTAGTACAAAAAGATGATTCTTCTTATTGTTAAGGGATTATTGAACTATGCAAGCTCAAGATGCCCCAATAGTAGAGGCTAGGCAACACAGCATCAGAAATGATAAAAAGGGGTGGAAATGCCAAATACTGTATATGCATGTGTTCAATGATTTAGAAGTTGGTAAATTGAAATTTTAATATCAAAATAATGTCATTGTCAAAGATGGCAAGAAAGTTTTGAAATATTCATTATTCTGAATTGTGAATAACATAATCTAATTTAAGGTTTACATGTGGTCTTATGATTAACAAATGAGAATATTTATTATGAAAAGATTCTGTTGAAATTACATAGAACATTTCAATTCTACGTATCCTGATTTTGGATAAGTTAAATTTACAGCCTGTGGTTCCTTAAAATTATGGTATCTGATGCCCTTTTATTTTGCTATGTAGTTTGATATCAGCAGTTACAAATCAGTAATCTGAATGATAGAAATGTAAATGTAATTTTAAATTTTATAGGCAGCTGCAAATTGACAGAGACTTTGACAGAACTCCATCACGAAAAGATTATGCTGTCTTTTTGAAATTTGAAGCTGTAGGAAGCAAAGATGATTTCTTACACACAATGCTTGGTGCTGAAATACCCATCCAAGGTATGGTATGGGTAAATACTGAATTAAGTGTGAAATAAATGTATTTTCTAGGAAAAGTAATGAGATCAATGTAGGTATTGTTAAAAAAACATAAAATTAATTTCTTGATGAGCATCTAATAAGAACAAGTTCTTCTTTCTAATGTTGTGTGTAAGATAAAGATTTTTTGAAGTTTGTAATGCTATAATGCTGATCTCATGGAATTATTTATATATTTCATTAGATAAAAATTATAACCATAATATTGATCACAATTATTGCATCCTATGGAATTTCTTGAAAGTACTTTAATTCATATTCACAAAATAACATTTCTAATAAGTTATGCAGCTTTTGAGAGGCCTTATTTTGTTAGCCTTTCTGAAATTATAAATTATGGTTCTAGATGGGACTGCCAAACATCACAGTTTGGGCTTTAAGATACTTACTGTTGAATGTAATGATGAACATTTCCACTAGAATAAATTTTGAAAATTATAGCAATAGAGTATACTGTATGTAGAGTTGTTTAAGATTGTTTGAAACTATAGTTCGTACATAGAGTATTATAGGATACTGAGAATCTTGAATGTTTGAACTATATTTGGAAATAATCCAAATATACTCCATATCTAGTTATCAACTATGAAAACCCGCATTTCTGTCTGCTCTGGATTCTGTCATACGATGAAGGGAAGGGGGTGAACAAAGGGGCTTTATGGCCCTCACTTCCTTCAGCCTACTTCAAAGGGACTGGAGGTGGATATCACCAAATGGACTAACAATAACAATGGGGGTCATTAGCTTTCAT